GTACATCTTAAATCCCGAATGCTATTCGTCTCGAAGATGTTCTACGTTCGTTGTAGAAACGTTGCAAGATAATAAAGACGTAGCCTTCAATTTCACGGGGGGAGGATATTGAGCAATCGATCTGCTTTGAAAACGCGGTACAAACGGATGTAATAAATAAGACGAAGTACGTGCCGCGCGAGGACTCGATTCAACACACGAAGCGCATTGTGATGCGACAACAAGTAAAGCGAAATAATATAGGTCATGTGTTTGTAAAGAAAAGAACACGATCTGGAGTGTAATTTGAAAAATTGAATAAAACACGCGCTTTACTCGATTCGTTCTGCCCGGTTCTATTTTCGATTCTTCTACTTGACATTTTTCTACAAACTTCTCAATTTTATTTTCCTGTAGTAACTTAGACGAACGTTATATTTGCTTCAACGTAGAGTAGATAATGAACAATTTGTTTAGTTAATAATTGTAAAAGTTTCGTTTATGTATGTGCATGTTAAAGAGCGCGGTAAACGAATGCAGAGTTGTCTGACCAATACCGGCTATTTCTACTTAGAAATTCTACCGTATGCATATAATTTAATTAAAATATTAAACGAGCTATCGCTGCTTTCGTAACGCATTTTAAACACTCTGACTGTGTTGTTGTTATCCTATTTCAATATTGTTAAAATATTTTTGAAACAAAAAAGGTACTATTTATAATATTGTAATTTTTACGTTGATACCTTGATTTAATGCTTTACAGAAATAGGTATTTCGATCGATGAATTAACTTCGACTGTATGGCAAGCAATTTTGATACTCGATTGGAAAAGAGGTAAAAAAAGTGTAGAAATAATTACTTACAAGGACGGCATTGGTAGGCGACCTCGATGTACTTCGATTGTCCAGGACACAGATCGCCCTGAAAGGTCTTTGGACTGGTATTGAACTTGCACTGCCTCTTATTGTGACACACTTCCACCACTACCTGCAACAGTGAATGCTAACTCGTCATTCAGACGATCCGCTCACTTTACGATCAGTTTCTACGTAAACTTAATCTAAGAAAATTGTAACGTGGTGAATTGAAGAAGGAATGTCACGAGTAATACCGTAAAAAATTCAGCAACGATTTTACAACTAATTTCACAATACAGTGAAAAATATATCAACGACAATTTATTCGAATTTGTTAACGTTTACCTTGAATTATTTATTTTTATTCGCGAGATCGGTAAATAGCCGAGTGTCTGATTAATGCAGGTCGTTTCACTTAGAAGATAATTTCAATGGCAACTTTCTGAAGAAGCACAAAAGAAAAAGTAATTACATATAATAACTCTTTTTGGAGTATTGAAAATTAGGATATTGTAAATTAAAAATATTGGAAAATTAGACGTATAGATGAAATTGCTATATTTTAGAAACTCGTATAATCGTGAGAAATAAATCAACGTTCTCCTAAATAGATCTCGATTATTTCAGTATCTTTACAGACTGAACTATACGGATTGCAATTACAGGATTCTTCGGTGCACTGTGTATCTATCCAACGGGGCAAATCGTGCACTCCGACACGATTGCACAGCAGCGCTTAGGGTTATAGCAACATGCGATGGCGCGGCATCAACGTAGTCATACCAAAATGTGTAATTTACCGTCGCAGGATTACATATTTTGCGAGCAGGCGACAAATAACGCAAACACGCGCTTCAGGAGAACGCACACACGTTTACACATGCGATCGATTTACTTGAGTGACAATATATGTCAATCTGGTGCTCGTTAACTTAATGATAAACTTGCTTTTCGGATTCATTCGGCAGGGAACCGTGAGAAGCACGTTGCACAACATTTTGACCACGGATCATCAGGATGTATGTATGTCCGTTTATAAATGACCCGGTGGTTTACTGAAACTGACGAAACCCAGTGACATTCCCGTGTATAATTGCAATTATGCTTGATGCGTCAAATTAATTTCCCATTCGTAGTTCATGACAAATCGAAAATATTAACGACGATACTTGTGAAGCGCAACGGAACAACAAACTAATACCGAAAATTTTGATATTCTAAATCATTACCATTTTCAAAATGCACTCAATGCAAAACGTGTTTCTTACGCATTCAAAAACTTACACATAATTATTTATTAATTATAAATTATTATAACAAATTAATTACAAATATAAATTTTTTTTTTTCGTTGGCGGTCACCCATCTTAACATTAGTCGCGAGGAATACAGCTTCACCTGGAAAGCTACCGACGAGTCACCCTACCCAGTCCTCATTTATCCCAGGATAAAAAAAAACTGCATTCTTATATTATTTAAAATTAGAATAATTATAGAAAATTTACTACAGTCATCTGACATAAAATAGTCACTACTAAGTCACACAGCTTTATAAAAGGTTAAATTAAAATCTACAATTGAATCGAAATGAATAAAAAACCAGAATAAATTCACTTATTTCGACGAACCACTTCTTCACGTTATTCAACGAAGAACAGTATCGTACACAGGACAACCGAGAATTAAAAATTTACGAGCACGTGAACAACTCTTCGGCCTCTTCACTTTTCTCCCTTTCCTTGCACGATCCTTCGTCTTTCCGATATCAACGCCAGGACAATACTTCGTAGGACACGGATTCCTCGGCATACGTGAAATTTCACGATGCACCGGACTTCATCTCTTCTATAAAATAACGATTGCCTCGTCTCTCACTCCGGTCGTCATCGGTAGACACGGGTCCAAACCACTCTCTGTCATGAAAATTCTCAATTGGTTCTTTTAACGAGAGTTCACGACTTGACAGTTCGTAATACGTACGCGGTCTCCTCTACCCGAAACTGACGCATTTCAGTTCCGACGAGAGCGACAGTGTAAGAGATATTACCGTACGATGAGAAGATGCCGTTGAAAGTGCATTCTGTTCCAAATCGATATCCCGTACAGAGGACAACCGAGAATTAAAAATTTACGAGCACGTGAACAACTCTTCGGCCTCTTCACTTTTCTCCCTTTCCTTGCACGATCCTTCGTCTTTCCGATATCAACGCCAGGACAATACTTCGTAGGACACGGATTCCTCGGCATACGTGAAATTTCACGATGCACCGGACTTCATCTCTTCTATAAAATAACGATTGCCTCGTCTCTCACTCCGGTCGTCATCGGTAGACACGGGTCCAAACCACTCTCTGTCATGAAAATTCTCAATTGGTTCTTTTAACGAGAGTTCACGACTTGACAGTTCGTAATACGTACGCGGTCTCCTCTACCCGAAACTGACGCATTTCAGTTCCGACGAGAGCGACAGTGTAAGAGATATTACCGTACGATGAGAAGATGCCGTTGAAAGTGCATTCTGTTCCAAATCGATATCTCTACCCGTTCTCGAGACAAACGACGTTAAAGTGCATCGTTTATGATGTAAGGAATCCTCAATGATGCTTGAAATACGTGGAATCGTCGTGACCGACTTCTTTTTTCCACGGAAACGCGTACGATGCTGTAGCAGCGATCGTAAAAAACCGCTGACGCAGAGTCTGTCACTGACCAGCGTACAGGTGTCGAGTTTGAGGCAGGTCAGTGAGGTGGTGCAGGTGAGAGGTTCGATTGTGCGAGCGAGAGGAAGATAGTAATTTACTGGAAATGGTACCTCGATTTAAACGACAATAACTCGACAACGAAGAGACGTGTTTGCGTTAAACAAAAACTGATTTAAAGAGGAAGTCTTCTCGTTTCTCGGTGTGTTAGTTATAAATTATTTCGACGTTTACGTTTGCAGGTAAATGGATTTACGTTTGTAGCTGCTTTCTCTTGTTTCCGTTGATTGTCGATATTGAAGGTACAATATTGTTAATAATTGATTAATATCGTGGATCATTTATGGTTGTGTGTAATGTACACCGAATACAATTCTCTTATGATTACTAGCTACTCCGTTGAAATTCGATTACTTTCGTTTAAAATAACCACTGTCGCGTTTAATGCATATTTTTCATAAATTCTACGTCGATCAGATTTCACACATTTCCGCCCGCTTATAAACATCTAACAAAGACTATCAAAAATCAATTTTCATTCTTCTTTCCACCTGAGAAGCGAATCTCGCGTATACCACGTATTTCGCCAGCACGACTCGTCGTTCAAATGGTTTCCAGTTGTAGCGCGTCATTTTTCAAAGTCCGTTGAGTAGTAAACGAAGAACAGCGATACAAAGTATCGACGATGGACGCGTCATCGAAGACACGTCCGTTCTTCCCATCGCTCTCTTCCTTTTTTCTTGTCCCCACGCGTTAATTCGCTTTTGTCGAGTGCACTATGTCATTCGACGATACGGCAAAAAAGAGACAGAAAAAGAGCACGGAGTGGTGGACGAGGGCAGAAAGGGAGCAGAGGCTAACAAAGGTGAAAAGAGGAGAAGAGTCGAGTTGCATTTGCGGGCCAAGAGGGGAGAGGTTTGTGCACAATATAGTCTCAGAAGCGCTTTGAAGTCTAGTCGAAATTAATGTGGCGTCTCCCTTTTCGTCCAGCGTGGTTATTGCAACTGCCGCGACGAAACGAATGCAACCCGGCAGGCCAGGAAGAAAAAAGTACTACTCACGATGGGAGGAAGAAAAATCACGGGACCAACCGCGCTCTCTCTCTCGTCCTCTTCGCTTGAGTTATATTAAGGTTGTCGCTTAATTTCGCGCCAGCAATCTTTCCTCCCTCTCTGAATTCAACTCTTTGTCCTTGGTTAACCACCGGTGCCACCGCTGTTCTTATGAGAATTTTGCGGAGAGTAGAATTGGAGTCATTGAAACGTATTATAGCGGTTGGTTATTGGAAAGAGGAGAGAAATAGAAGAGAATGCAAGTGGAGAAGAAAGAGAAGGAGAAAATGTGTTTCTCCCTGTGTGTGTGTCTTAATGGACTCGACGATAGAGCTACCTGGGAGATTAGAACCATAAAGATAACGCACACTAAAGATTTTGTTTTCAGAAGACAGTCTTTAGAGCGAGGGCTGTGAAGACTGTTTTTAAAAAAATTTCGACTTGTCGCAACAATCAGATGGTCATAAATCGTAAGTGCAATGAATTGCTTTAATTACAGATTTCACAGGAGGCACGTTGCATAGGCAATACTTTGCTTTTAGATATTAACAAATGAAAAACGCGCGGGAAATTTGAAACCTAACTAAAGCGGGAGATTTAAAACTCGACAGAATCAAATACCTTTTCAAACATTTCTCACTGCACTCCTTCGTTTCTATTGCATGAATTTATAAAGTAGACTTTGAGAAACAGGACAGTGTTTTTATTAAAGAGAAGGAACGGTGATAAGTGTATCGAAATTTGCGTCAAAGTTCCAACTTACAAATCGTTAGGTACAAAGTCCCGTAACATAGCACATCACACTCGATCGAGAGTCGCCTTCCAACTTTCAATACGGTCATCAGGATTAATTTTCCGGTGACCAGCGTCTTGAGTGACCGTCGCGTGCGAGCGTGAACAGGATTTACGACCCTGCGAAATTCACCGAAGAATTGCGGGGCGAGGGACGCAACGCAAACAAACCAACTTCATATTGCCAATTCGAATATCGTCAAATCTCTACGAAGAAAATTAACGGTGATTCAATTTGATACTCTGTGAAAAAAGAAAAAGGGAAACATACGTCGGCCCAGACAGTCGGATATTTGCTCGCGCGCATTTAATTATTGGGTCTGGAATTTTCAGGTACGGCCTATTTCCACCGGTTTCACAAACGAGAAAAGCTCCCGCGGGAAAAATCGATTTCCTGTACATCGATGCACACGTATTCCACCTATTGCTTCCCTCTCCAGGATCACTTTTCTCTTTCCTTCGTCGCAGTCACCCTCGCGGGGCCTTTCACGCTCCGGCGCTTATCCCTTGGTCCATTAATTCCTCGGTTAACGATATGCTCGCTCCTCTATCGTCCCGGGAACAGGATATCATCGGAATCAACGCGGGAGCCGCAGGTGCGC